TAAACACCTCTTATTGGCCACTGCGTTCAAGGGATCAACAAACATGTCTGTGATTGGCTACATTTCCTACCGCTGCAAAAACACGCTGTAAATAGGAACATTTCAAGTTCTTCAGAGCTCAAACTCAAAAACGCAATGGACCGTTTGCTAAATCTGTTTTGCCAATAGTTTTATATCATTGCAGAATCAACTGAAATTATTTGTGATCACACATTAATTGGCGGACCCCCTGCAGTACAGCTGCGGACCCCCAGTTGAAGACCCTTGCCATAAAGGATCTTTTGTTGGATTGGAAAGGGTGTTTTGAGCACTGCACGTGTTCAGTTTTATTTCATTAAGATCAATGAAAATCCGTATTTTTTTGTATGACTCCAAGACTGAATCAGCACTTCAGAAGGAAATGAACTCATAGACTGCAGCAGAAGCAGTTGTTTTATTTTTAAGAGATTCTGTGGGCAGTAGTAAACACCTGCACGCATGTGGAAACACTTTCAGCTGTTGGTGACCTACTAAAGCACTGCCCTGCCACCCCAATAACACTAGAGGCAGCATCACATGAGCGTAAAGACACAACCTCATCTCATCAATCATTAAACAGTTTTTATGTATTTTAAGGGCACCTCAATAATGCATCCACTACTGACGGCCTAGAAGAGCATGCAGATTAGAATGCAGAAAGAGGGTGGGACATCTGACAAGACACACCCCCTCCTGAACAGTACTGTAGTGCACTAAAAAGAAAAAAAAACACAATTTTGCAACCGTACTGACATCAATCTGTGTCCCGCATCCATGCTGATTACTTGCAGCTTTCCAAAATGGTATGCTGGGTTCTCTCAAAAGAATATTTAGGCCTGAACTTAAGATTTATGTATTTGAATTTCAAATAAAAATTCCCATCCATTTGGATTACACAGTTTAGCATAAACAAATAAACTTAATGTGATGCACATCTGCATAAGTGTTTCACATACACAACAGGCAGGTATAAATATTGTTCATACTCTTTAACTGAATAATTTTAATTTTTCACAATGTCCAGATTTATGCTGATTCTAAGCAATTTGAATAAATGCCTTTCCAATGCTTTTTCTTTTTTTAGCTTTGCAAAGCACATACATGGCTTACTCTATTTCTGCTTCTGAAGGCCAGAATCTATGTAACAATAAATTACTGAACAAAAGAAAAGCTTGCTTTGACCAATCATAGGCCAGAGTAACGCTGACTCAAACATGCTACAAACAAATGCATTAGATCAAACTCCTCAGGAGGCATATTGCATTGAAAAACATTTGACAACGAAAAATCGTGGGGTAAATCTGACAGACTGGGTTCTGTTCCAAAACCTACTAAGCTGTCTTGCTGTATATTATATATAGGCAGCTGCCTTCTGAAACAGCATTATAATTAAAATGACACCTCATTAGAGACTAATTCAGACTTTTAGAGACAAATATTGTATAAAAAGTTACATCCAAAAATATTGTATAAAAAGTTACATCCAAAAATATTGTATAAAAAGTTACATTTTAAGTTTAACAATGAGTATTGATATTATTTGGTACTGAATTATAAGTATATTATATTATAAAAAATACATAAAGTACATAAAGACTGTTTAATGTCTTTACGCTCTTGTGATACTGCCTCTAGTGTTATTGGGGCGGCAGGGCAGTCAAGAATACTGAATATTGAGTTTTTTCACATCACAATGCCGCCTTAAAATAGGCCAAAATAGACTTTCTTATAAAGCACCATAAGTAGGTTTTGGAACAGGGCCATACGGTCATCATTGAAAGCGTCGACTTCAAATCAAGTAATCCTATTGGTCATCTAACATGATCTAATCTCATTACATTATTAGCTCATTACAGTTTCACAACAGAGAAAGCCAGAGTGTTGAATCAGACATCAAGCTCAGATGCATTTCAGTGACAGAATGAACCTCAGTTCAGAATTTACCACAGCTCTTAGTGACCACATCTGTCAAGCTCTAAAAAGGACAAAAAAAAGGCAACAAAAGAGCATCACAGAAATGGTCTATATGACTTGTACACTACATTCCAAGTCTTCTAAAGTTGTGTGATAGCTCTGTGTGAGGAACAGACTGAAATAAAGTCCTTATTCACTGATAGCATTGCCCTCCGCTGAAGCTTGTGTCTAGTAGGCATGGGCCGATTACCGATTTCAAGGTATACCGCGATTTGAAAATTTCACTGTTTCAAAACCACTAATATTTTCCGTTATACCGTTCCTGCGGTATGCACTATTTTTCATGTCTCCTCAAAGACTGAAAGTGTAGGAATCCCTCAGGTTGAGTGCAGTGTAGAGAGTAACACGACCCTCCTCATCCTGTTGGTGCGAGCGAGCGGTCAGTCACGTGAGTGTAGGATGGCCGAACTTAAGGAGCTTCCCCAGGAACTTACGCGATCGGCAACCGGACGTTTTTTGTCTTATTGCAAGCAACTCGTCTCTGTTCTGGACTTGCACAAACTG